TGGGATTACAGGCATGAGCCACTGTGCCCGGCCACAACCATCCACTTCTGAACTTGCACCCCAGGCCCCTCTGCAGAGCCCAGACATACATATCCAATTGCCTACTGGATATTACATATGTGTGTGTGTGTGTGTGTGTGTGTGTGTGTGTGTGTGTGTGTATCCAGAATGTATTTTTTCTGACCATTGGCACTCCATGAGGGCAAGGACTTTGCCTGTCTTGTTCCCACCCATATATTCAGTGCTGAAGATACACAGTAGATGACTAAGAGTTTAGTTCCTATTTAAGAAATACCTTCCCACAAAGAAAATAGTGAGCCCAGAGGGCTTTGCAGTTGAGTTCTACAAAACACTCAAGGAACAGATTACTTTAGTACTGCATAAACTCTTACAGGGAAGAGGAAAAAAGAGGCTTAAATCTCCAATTCATTTTAGGAGGATAGTGTAGTAGCTCCATAGAAGTGCCATTACAGACTACCACCAACTGAGTGACTTAAAACAACAAAAATTTATTCTCTCACAATTCTGGAAGCTGGAAGTCTGAAGTCAAGGTGTCTGCGGGGCCATGCTCTCTCTGAAACCTGTCGGTGAATCCTTCCTCTCCTCTTCTAGGTTCTGGTGGTTTGCCAGCAACTTTCGGCATTCCTTGGCTTGCAGCTGCAAAACTCCAATCTCTGGCCGGGCGCGGTGGCTCAAACCTGTAATCCCAGCACTTTGGGAGGCCGAGGCGGACGGATCACGAGGTCAGGAGATCGAAACCATCCCTGGCTAACATGGTGAAACCCCGTCTCTACTAAAAATACAAAAAACTAGCCGGGCGTGGTGGCGGGCGCCTGTAGTCCCCAACTACTCGGAGACTGAGGCAGGAGAATGGCGTGAATCCGGGAGGCGGAGCTTGCAGTGAGCTGAGATCCGGCCACTGCACTCAAGTCTGAGTGACAGAGTGAGATGCTGTCTCAAGTGACTCCACGTATTTCGTGACTTGTGGCTGCAAAACTCCAATCTCTGCCTCCCTGGCCACATGGCATTCTCCCAGTATGCTTCTGTCTTCACATGGCCGTCTTCTTATAAGGACATCATCCTAACTAATTACATCTGCAACAACCTTATTTCCAAACTTTACATAAGATCATATTCTGAGCTACTAGGAGTTAGGACTTCAACATCTTTTTGGCGGGGAACACAATTCAACCCATAAAAGATAGCATAACACACAAGGATCACTTGAGGCCAGGAGTTTGAGACCAGCCTGGGCAACAGGGTGAGACTCTGTCTGTAAATAAATAAAAATTTAGCCAGATGTGGTGGCATGCACCTGTAGTTCCAGCTACTTGAGAGGCTGAGGTAGGAGGATCACTTAAGCCCAGGAATTCAAGGCTGCAGTGAGCCGTGATTGCATCACTGCACTTTAGCCTGGACAACAGAACGAGACCCTGTCTCTAAAAAATAAAAGTAATGATAAAATTTTTTCAATAAAGAAAATTTTCAGGTTTATCTCCTTCATGAACATAGATGCAAAAATCCTAAAAAACTAGTAATACATTAAAAGGTTAATATATTATAAACAATAAACAAGTTGGGTTTATCCCTAGAATACAATATTAGTTTAATACTGGAAAATTAAATAATGTAATTTACCTTTTTTGTTTCTTTCTTTCTTTCTTTCTTTCTTTCTTTTTTTTTTTTCTTTGAGACAGTCTCAGTCTGTCACCCCAGGCTGGAGTGCAGTGGCACGATCTCAGCTCACTGCAACCTCCGCCTCCCAGGTTCAAGCAATTCGCCTGCCTCCCAAGTAGCTGGGACCATGGGCATGCACAACCATACCTGGCTAATTTTTTGTATTTTTAGTAGAGAGGGGGTTTCACCATGTTGCTCAAGCTGGTCTCGAACTCCTGGTCTCAAGTAATCCACCTGCCTCGGCCTCCCAAAATGCTGGGATTACAGGCATGAGCCACCTTGCCCAGCCAATTTACCATATTTACAGATTAAAAGAGAAGACTCTTGTGGTTGCCAAGAAAGACACAGAAAAAGCATCTGACAAGTCTTAACATCCATTTATAATTTTTTTAATTAAAAAATTAGCCAGGTGTGGTGGTACACACCTGTAGTCCTAGCTACTTAGGAGGCCAAGGTGGGAGGATTGCTTTAGCCCAGGAGGTCGAAGCTGCAGTGAGCTATGATTGCACCACTGCACTCCAGCCAAAGTGACAGAATGAGACCCTGTCTCAAAAAACAAAACAAAACAAAACAAAAAAAATGCTGAGCATGATGGCTCACACCTCTATTCCCAGCATCCCAGCCCTTTGGGTGGCTGAAGTAGGCAGATTGCTTGAGTCCAGAAGTTCAAGACCAGCCATGGGCAACACAGCAAAACCTCATTTCTAGAGAAAAAAAAAAATTAGCTGGGCATGGTGGCATGAGCTTATCCTACCTACTTGGGAGGCTGAGATGGGAGGATCGCTTGAGCCCTGGGAGGCCAAGGCTGCAGTGAGTGGTGAGCAATGATGGCGTCACTGCACTCCAACATGGGCAACAGAGCAAGACCCTGTCAAAACAAACAAACAAACAAAAAACTCCTATCAAACTAGGAAAAGACAGGAAGGTTTTTTTTAACATGATAGTCTCTATAAAAAATTGTTCTCGGCCGGGCGCGGTGGCTCAAGCCTGTAATCCCAGCACTTTGGGAGGCCGAGACGGGCGGATCACGAGGTCAGGAGATCAAGGCTAACACGGTGAAACCCCATCTCTACTAAAAATACAAAAAAAACTAGCCGGGCGAGGTGGCGGGCGCCTGTAGTCCCAGCTACTCGGGAGGCTGAGGCAGGAGAATGGCGTAAACCCGGGAGGCGTAGCTTGCAGTGAGCTGAGATCCGGCCACTGTACTCCAGCCTGGGTGACAGAGCGAGACTCCGTCTCAAAAAAAAAAAAAAAAAAATTGTTCTCAATGGGAAAAGCTGAAAGACTTTCCTTTAAATCAGGAAAAAGACAAGGGTTCTAGTATCAATACTGCCATTCAACACTGTACTGAAATTAGCTGGGTGTGGTGGAGGGTATCTGTAATCCCAGCTTCTCGGGAGGCTGAGGTGGGATAATCGCTTGAACCCGGGAGGCAGAGGTTACAGTGAGCCGAGATCGCACCACTGCACTCCAGCCTGGGCAACAGAGCAAGACTCCGCCTCAAAAAACAAACAACAACAACAAAAAACACATTGTACTGAAGATTCTAGCCAGTTCAGTAAAACTAGAAAAAGAAACGAAACTATAAGAACGAGTAGTCTGTGGAGGTCAGTGATTGTGGAGGGCAGGGGGCATCTGTGAGGCTCAGGTCAAGAGCTCAGGCCGCAGGATGACAATGTCAGGGTTACTTAAAATAAAACTCCTGAATAGTTCAGTGCACATCCTGGGCAACCTACACTGCCTACCCTCTGCTGACAAGATTACAAACTTCCCTGCTGATAAGATTACCTACCTAGGCTGAAAACCAGGAGATCTGTCCTAGGACTGTCTCTGCTAGCCTTTCTCTGAGTCAAACTGTGAACCTGATAGGACACGTGGAGGTCGGGTTTGTCCAAGGGAGTGGAGGTACCTCACAAGACACATGGAGATAGATAGGATTTACCACAGAGAGGTGGGGGAGCAGCTGCCCTGCAGCAAAGCCAGTCCCCATTCACATTCTCCCCACCTCCCGCCCTGCAAGTCCCGAATCCATAGGGGTGTATCCCAGTGTGTTACTGCCTCTGTTCTCACAAATCTTCTATGACTTTGCACTATGGACATGCTGAGGATTTTCCACAATACTAGGACATCATATATATTATACACTCTATATATTACAGTATTATATAGCATATGCATTCTATATTATCTCCATTTTCTACATAAGGAAACTTCTGAGGCTCAGAAGGAATCAGAAACTCGACCAAGGTCATACTATGTTAGTAAGTAGTAGAGCTATGTACCAAATAAATGTAGGTCTGAATCTAAAGGGAGACTATTACCTAAAAAATTCAACTCCATGCTTTCCTAAAGACCCATTCCCACCTGCCTGGGGCAGCTGTTTCCCACAGGGTCCTCCAAAGTCCCCAAACAGTAATCACACATAGACCCAATCACTGACCCTCCAAGAATCCAATTAAGGAACCAAAGAAACCACAATCAAGGCCAGGCACTGTGGCTCATGCCTGTAATCCCAGTGCTTTGGGAGGCCAAGGTAGGAGGACCTCTTGAGACGAGGAGTTTGAGGTTGCAGTGAGATATGATTGCACCACTGCACTCCAGCCTGGGTGACGGAGCAAGAAAGAAAGAAGAAAGAAAAAGAGGCTGGGTGCAGTGGCTCATGCCTGTAATCCCAGCACTTTGGGAGGCCAAGGTCGGCAGATCACTTGAGGTCAGGAGTTTGAGACCAGCAGCCGGCCAATGTGGTGAAACCTCATCTCTACTAAAAATACAAAACTTAGCTGGGCGTGCTCGCTTGAACCCAGGAGGTGGAGCTTGCAGTGAGCCGAGATTGTGCCACTGCACTCCAGCCTGGACAACAGAGTGAAACTCTGTCTCAAAAAAAAAAAAGAGAGAGAGAAGAGAAAGAATGAAAGAGAGAGAAAGAGAAAGAATTAGAGAGAGAAAGAAAGAAAGAAAGAGGAGGAAAGAAGGAGAAAGGAAGGAAGGAGAAAGAAAAAGAAAGGAAAGAAAGAAGAAAGAAAGAAAGAAAGAAAGAAGAAGAAAGAAAGAAAAGAAAAAGAAATAAGAAAGAAAGGAAAGAAGAGAAAGAAAGAAAGAGAAGGAAGGAAGAAACAAAGAAAGAAAAGGAAAGAAAGAAAGAAGAAGAAGAAAAAGAAAGAAAGAAAGAAAGAAAGAAAGAAAGGAAAGAAAGAAAAGAAAGAAAGAAAGAAAAGAGAGAGGGAGAGAGGGAGGAGAGGAGGGAGGGAGGGAGGGAGGGAGGGAGGAGGGAGGGAGAGGGAGGGAGGGAGGAAGGAAGCACAGAGTGTCAGTCATCACTGGCTCACACAAACACTACCACTATGGCCCCTCTCCCAGTGACTGACAGCCACAGACACTCAATCAGTAGCCTCAAAGTCCTCCAATTATTAATTACCTCAGGATTCAAATCCCTGGAGCCTCATCCTGACACCATTGGCAACCAATCACTACCTTCCAAAACTGCCAGTGACCAGACCATAGAGACTGTCAGAGCATAAAGAAAAATCCCTCCACTGTTGATTGTCAGGGTCTGCAAAAGGTCTGAGACTCCACCCTCTTACAAGCTAACATGTTTTAGAGATGCTGACAGAAAACATGAGACTCCTGGGGCTGAGACAAAGGACCTTCCTGCTCCTGGGACAGCAGCAGCATGCATGTCACAGGGGCACCTGCTCCCCTTGTCCTCCAACTCCCACAGCAGTGATGCAGAGGGTCCCTGGTGGACGTTGCACACACAATAGGTTTACATCACAGCCAAGAAACACTGAGCTTGGGTCATCCAGCCTGTCTTTCACCCCAGAGGGAGACATTGCCTCATCCCACAGGGTTGCTTGCTGTCATCACAACCCTGAGAAATGGCTGAGGTAATCAGTGATTGGGGCCTTGTATCTTTAGGCAGCCACAAAGTAGTAAAACTAAGGCCAGGCTACTATATGCTACAACCCACACAAAGGAATTTAGACTGATGTGCTGATGTTTGGTGTATTGTCAGTAATTTAGGGGGCAATACATGGGCCCCAAAGCAAACCCTATCCCAAGTGGAGAGACATTCTGTTTCCCACTGTTCTCCCCATATACAAATATACCATCCAAAGGGGAACAGTTCATTTCACTTCAACATTTGTTGTTCAAATTGATTTGACTCACCATTACATTGGTTTGGTAGTGTTATAAGAGGTAGTCTATTCAGGCTGCTATAATGGAATACAATAGACAGGGTAGCATACAACCAACAAGTTTATTTCTCACAGGTCTGGAGGCTGGAAGTCCAAGATCAAGTTGCCAGCAGATTTCTGCATCTGGTGAGGGTCCACTTCCTGGTTCACAGATGGCCATCCTCTCACTGTGTCCTGACATGGAGAAAATGACAAGGGAGCAAGCACTCTGGGGTCCCATTTATAAGGGCACTAATTCCTCTCATGAGGGCTCTGCCCTCAAGACCTAATCACCTCCCAAAGGCCCTACCTTCTAATACCTTGGGGCTTAGGATTCCAACATATGAATTTTGAGGTAACATAAACATTCCACCTATAGCAAGTAGCATCTTAGTACTTGTAGCTCAATTGCTAAACATGGCATAATCCAAGACCACTCGAGTGCCAGGAGAAGCAGATGAGTTTGGATCAGCCAGATCTAAACAAGGCTGTGCTGGTCCACGTATGTCTACAGGTATGAGGGAAGCCTGTGTTCAGGAGCTGCTGTTGATGGCATCAGGCACAGCAGAGTAATTCAGGAGCAGCCGTGCTCACATGCTTTTTTCTGTTTTTGTCACCCAAGGACAGTGATGGCAAACCTAGCAGCAGGTCAGATTGCCAGCTGCACCTGCTGCTTGACTCCAGCAGACCAGATGATTGTTTCGTTGGACTGCAAGTGCTCGATCTAGGGGACAAACAGAGCATTCATTGTCTCCCCATCTTGCACCTCTCAGGGTCTAAGATATTCCCTCCCTGTATTAGTCCATTTTCACACTGCTATAAAGAGCTATCTGAGACTGGGTAACTTATGAAGAAAAGAGGTTTAATTGACTCAGAGTTCTGCATGGCTGGGGAGGCCTCAGGAAACTCACAATCATGGCAGAAGGTGAAGCAGAAGCAAGAACCTTCTTCACAAGGCGGCAGGAGAGAGAACAAGGGAAGAAAGCCACCCAGTTTTTTTTTTTTTTTTTTTTTTTGAGACAGGGTGTTGCTCTGTTACCCAGGCTAGAGTGCAGTGGCGTGATCTTGGCTCACTACAACCTCCACCTCCCATTCTCCTGCCTCAGCCTCCTGAGTAGCTAGGGCCACAGGCACACACCACCATGTCCAGCTAATTTTTGTATTTTTAGTAGAGACAGAATTTGACCATGTTGCCCAGGGTGGTCTTGAACTCCTAAACTCAGGCAATCCGCCCGCCTTGGCCTCTCAAAGTGCTAGGATTACAGACGTGAGCCATTGCACCCAGCATCACGCACTTTTTAAACCATCAGATCTCGTAAGAACTCATTCACTCACTATCACAAGAACAGCATGGGGGAAACTCCCCCCATAATCCAATCACCTCCCATCAGGTCCCTCCCCTGACACAGGGGGATTACCATTCAACGTGAGATTTGGGTGGGGACACAGAGCCAAGCCAACCATATCACTCCCCAAATGCTCTCCTTCCACACCTCATGAAATCAATGTATCCCATCTCAGAGCCTGTAACTTCACTTTTTCCCAATCATCCCCTATTTGTACCCAGACCTTTCATCCAGAAGGGTCAAGTACAAAAGGGCCAAAGGCATTTTTATAAAATTTACAGACTTTTTTTAAAATGTCTTCTATCTTAGCCCATGTGAGCTGCTGTATGGGAACTTGGTGAGTAGTGTACTCAATCAAGCGGTCATTGTCATTAGGATCTAGGACCGTGTCCACCCAACAAGAGAATTCAGGTGACTGACCAGAAATAAGTTTAAGTCCGAGCCAGGCATGGTGGCTCACGCTTGTAATCCCAGCACTTTGGGGGGCCAAGGTGGGCAGATCATCTGAGGTCAGAAGTTCGACACCAGCCTGGCCAACATGGTGAAACCCTGTCTCTACTGAAAATACAAAAATTAGCCAGGTGTGGTGGTAGGTGCCTGTAATCCCAGCTACTTGGGAGGCTGAGACACGAGAATTGCTTGAATCCAGGAGGCAGAGGTGGCAGTGAGCTGAGATTGCACCACTGCACTCCAGCCTGGGCAACAGAGGGAGACTCAGTATCAAAAAAAAAAAAAAATAGTTTAAGTCCCCTCGGGCTCTTTTGGGCTAGGCTGCTGCTTGGAGGGTTACCAACTAGGTTAGCCTGGGACCTGGGATTACTGTTAAAGGAAAGAAAAACACATCACGTCTAGGAATGGCAATGGTAGAATCCCAAATGCCTCTATGGCCCACCCCTTTTGTCCTGACCGTTATCCGAGGTACACAATGGGAGATGATCCCATTCTTGGGACAGCCACATTTAGTGACCAAACTGCCTTACTAAGGTGAGTAGACCAGGAGAAGGAGAGAGAGGTAGGTTCTGAAATCCTTTTGAGTTCATTTTTGAGGAGGCCATTTCAATGTTTAACAATATCAGATACCTGCCCATGGTAGGGCACATAGAACATCTATGGAAGGCTTTGACTACTGGCCCATAGTTGGTTGGCCTTTGCAACAAAAGGCACACCACTGTCAGGCTGCAAATGGTCTGTGTCAGAAACATACAGTAATTTACTTTGTGCCCAGTCTATGATGGTGGATGCATTGCCATGTTCAGGGGGCAGTGAACTAGAAGTGCATCAGCTGTTTGATTCCAGTAGGCCTCATCAGAGAATAGGCTCTTACTATGGGCATCTACATGAGTGACCCAGACTGACCACTTCCACCAGTAGCTCCCCACCCACTTATCTGTTAAAAAGGCATACAATGTTTTAAAACGTTTGAAAGTCACAGCTTTAGAAGTTTAGCTTTTCCACTAACCATCTATTACTGATCTCTACAGACCCCAATATTGTCCCTAGAACCCTCCCATCACTCACCCCAGAAATCTTCTATCAGAAACACCCGTCCTCCATCGTAGCCTCTCAAGCCTAAAATCTCAAATCAAATTCCAATCCTAGGCCAACTCCCCAACCCTAAGACTGCCTTTTCTGGGGCAGCTCTTTCTTCACAGGTGCAGTGAGGTCATCGTTTCTGTACAGCGCAGGAAAGCTAAACTTCTAAATCTGTAACGTTCAAACTTTAAAAAAAAAAAAAAAAAAAAAACAGATAAGGCTGGGTGCGGTGGTTCACGCCTGTAATTCCAGTACTTTGGGAGTCCAAGGCGGGCGGATCACCTGAGGTTAGGACATCGAAACCAGCCTGGCCAACATGGTGAAACCCCGTCTCTACTAAAAATACAAAAATTAGCCGGGCGTGATGGCGTGCACCTGTAATCCCAGCTACTCAGGAGGCTCAGGCAAGAGAATCGCTGGAACCCGGGAGGCGGAGGTTACAGTGAGCCGAGATCGTGCCACTGCACTCCAGCCTGGGCGACAGAGCTAGACTCCGTCTCAAAAAAATAAAAAATATAAAATAAAAAACAGATAAGCGTGTAGGGAACACCTGGTGGAACTGGGTTTCCTCTTTAAGGGAAACGAGGAAAAGGACAAGATCCCGTCTTTTCTGCACTCAGTCGCCCCGCCCCCAACTCAAGCGGGCATGTTTATTGGATGATAAGAGGGTCAGTCAAAGCAAGGACCAACTCTCTACTGCCAAAATACACGTACTACTCAAGAGCCCCTGACTCAGACGTTCTCACTGGTCGGAATGCCATCAATCAAGTTCCAATCCCCGCCCCCTTCTCGCGGAAGAACTATAGGGACTAACCTCTCTCTTACTGTCAGGTCTGCTGTCAATCGGCTCCGCATCCTCTAGTTCTGCACGTCCCCAGCCATCAGAGCAGGAACTTCTGATCGGTCCGCCTGCCGATCTTTCACCTATAGAGCCCACCCTCTAAAAGTGTCCAAGCTGCTCCAAAGAACAATTGATTAATCCAACGGCTGTCTTTGGCCCTCAGAGCTGTCACACCTGGCTCCGCCTCTTCCCGGACATCATCTGTTGCCCCAGACAGTGTCGGGCCTGGAAAGAGGCTCTGAGCCCATCCACCTGTCTCTGTTGGATCCTGTCAGGTCTCTTGTTCCATGCCCAATGTCACTCGAGTAGGGAGGCAGTGGGGCACTGTTGGTTCTCATCCCAACCCCGAGTCTCTGCGCAGCCGCAATTCGGGAAAACAATCTGGAGGCGAGTTCAAAACACTAAGATTGAACGCGCTCATGGTTTGGTTTTCTCCTATAGCGCTTTGGTAGTGGCTTTTATCCAGATCCCCCCGGAATGAATCCTGGTATAGAAATGTAACCTGTATGTGTGCGTGTGATTTTTAATATGTTTAAATTTGATGAATCAAAAGCCTTTTTCAAGGTCAGATCCCAGACCGACCCCTCTGCCCCTCCCCTCGCTTTTTTTTTTTTTCCCCCAAAATGAAAGCTTTCCCAAAGAGGCCACGTTTGTAGGGCTAGTGGAATTTTTTTAGAAAAGGGAGAAAGCGGATTCTGGATGAGGACAATGGTGGCCCAAAAGTCGCTATGACTTAAGAGTCTTGGCGGAGGCAGAGGCTGGGAAAAGCAAGCAGACAGTGTTTTTCATTTAGGTGGCATCTGTATGAATCCTAGTTTGGAAAGGTGCGAAGGTTATGTGCTTTTGTTTTTAATATTTTGGCTTTTTAATTTTTGGTTTCTTTTTTTCACTTAGTTTTTATCTTCGAATTTTAATTTTGCAGTTTTATTATTTCATATTTTTAAAAATTGTATAATTAAACAAATTTTATTGCTACTGGCTTTTAATTAATTCATTAATTAATTTTGAGACGGAGTCTCACTCTGTTGCCCAGGCTGGGGTGCCGTGGCAGGATCTCAGCTCACCACAACCTCCGCCTCCCGGGTACAAGCGATTCTCCTGCCTCAGCCTCCCGAGTAGCTGGGACTACAGGCGCCTGCCACCATGCCCAGCTAATTTTTGTATTTTTAGTAGAGACGGGGTTTCACTATGTTGGCCAGGCTCGTCTCGAACTCCTGACCTCATGATCCGCCCGCCTCCGCCTCCCAAAGTGCTGGGATTACAGGCATGAGCCACCGCGCCCGCCTTATTTATTTTTAAAGCAAATTCTTCCAGATCCTGAGTTTCTGGCTTTTTAAATTAAAATTACAAGAAAATGTATTTATTACTCTGGTGTTAACAGGTCTGGAGACATACATTTATGATGCTTTGGACCTATTGATAATCTATAGAGTACTTTATTCATTAATTGTTTCATTCTAAAAACCCTGCTTTATATATCCCCAGAATACCAAGGCCTGGTGGGGAATATCTTATAAATAATGAATGGTTATTACTAATTATTAATAATAACCGTTAATGAAAATAAGATAGACACTGTTAAGAGATTCAATTAAGTACTGTGTAATTTCGTGTTGATTATATCTGCCACTAATATTCATCATGCATTGCATAGAAGTGGGATTGTCTCTTTCTTTTTCTCCTAGTTGGTTTGTGAGAAAATTGTGAGCAATTTTGCACAGGGAGGCTTCCATGTCTTACTAACATTTATTGACTGCTTGTATGTACTAGGAATAATTCTAAATGCCTTTCATGTATTTTTTTTCTCTTTCTTTTTCTTTGTATTTGTCATTCTAAATGCCCTTCATGTGTTGTCTCATTTAATCCTCACAAATAGGCACCTTTATTCTCCTCATACTACAGACAGGGAAACATCTGTAAGTGGCAGAGATGGGATTTGAACCCAAGCCCCCTTAAGGACTGCACCGGAACGATGGTTTTTCGTTCTCTAAAATGGGGGTTATAATATATGTAAAGTGATTAGGACATATAGTTAGCTCTGAATACATGGCAGAACTTATTGTTTTTACAGCCTTGTTTAAAGCTCCCAGCCACGCTGTGAGTTAGGGACCAACAGGATCCCCCTTTTCTACAAGAAGAAACGGGTTCTGAGAGAATAAACGACTTGCCCAAGGCCACTCGGTGCATGTTCTAGCTGAGCTCATGCTGTGGTCACTTTCCTGCTATAAACCCTTCCCAAGTTCCACACCCTGCTCTGGATAAACTCTTGGTGCATCAAGGCTTTTGATTCATAAAATTAAATATATGTCTAAGCTGGGTATGGTGGCATGCACCTATAGTCCCAGCTTCTCGGGGGCTTAGGTGGGAGGATTACTTGAATCCAGGAATTCAAGTCCAGCCTGGGCGATATAGCAAGAACCCATCTCTAAAAATAAATAAATACATTTCTAAACACACACATGTCAAACCCCTGTGTGATCTGGCCCCAACCCACCAGCCCTGCTTTATCTTAATGGGTTTAGGGGTTTTTTTGTTTTGTTTTTTGTTTTTTGTTTTTACTTATTTTTATTTTATTGTTATTATTTCAGTAGTTTTGGGGGAACAGGTGGTGTTTGGTTACATGGAAAAGTCCTTTAGTGGTGATTTCTGAGTTTTGGTGCACCCATCATCTGATATGGAGTTTTTTACCCCTTACCCCCTTTTCACCCCTCCCCCAAGTCCCCAGAGCCCATTGTATCATTCTTATGCCTTTGGGTCCTCATAGCTTAGCTCCCACTTGTAAGTGAGAACAAGGCGGGCGCGGTGGCTCACGCCTGTAATCCCAGCACTTTGGGAGGCTGAGGCGGGAGTGGATCAATTGAGGTCAGGAGTTCCAGCCCAGCCTGACCAACATGGCGAAACCCTGTCTCTACTAAAAACACAAAAATTAGCCGGGCCTAGTGGTACACACCTGTAATCCCAGCCACTCGGGAAGCTGAGGCAGGAGAATCGCTTAAATCTGGGAGGCAATGAACTGAGATCACGCCACTGCACTCCAGCCTGGACGACGGAGCGAAACTCCATCTCAAAAAACAAAACAAAACAAGAAAGTGAGAACATACGATGTTTGCTTTTCCATTCCTGAGTTACTTCATTTAAAATATAATGGTTTCTTTCCTTCCTTCCTTTCTTCCTCCTCCTCCTCTTCTTCTTTCTCTCTCTCTCTCTCACTCTCTTACTCTTTCTCTCTCACTAAAATAACCTAATTTATTTTTTTAAATTCCCAGTACTTTGCCTTAAACTTATGAGTAAGGAAAATAATGATTCGGGGTGACGCCCGAATCCTCACTGCTAATGTGAGACGAATTTTTGAGCGGTATAGGTCGCCCCTAAGGTGACCAGCCTACTTTGCGGGATGCCTGGGAATCGCGATCTGCCTGACACCTTTACACCTAAAAAATAGACTGGGGGCCGGGCGCGGTGGCTCACGCCTGTAATCCCATCACTTTGGGAGGCTGAGGCAGGCGGATCAAGAGGTCAGGAGATCGAAACCATCCTGGCTAACACGGTGAAACCCCATCTCTACTAAAAATACAAAAAGAAATTAGCCGGGCGTGGTGGCGGGCGCCTGTAGTCCCAACTACTCGAGAGGCTGAGGCAGGAGAATGGCGTGAACCCAGGAGGCGGAGCTTGCAGTGAGCCGAGATCACGCCACTGCACTCCAGCCTGGGCAACAGAGCAAGACTCCGTCTCAAAAAAAAAAAAAAAGTAGACTGGGGCCGGGTGCGGTGGCTTACACCTGTAATCCTAGCACTTTGGGAGGCCGAGGTGGGCGGATCACTTGAGGTCAGGAGTTCCAGACCAGCCTTACTAGCATGGTGAAACCCGGTCTCTGCTAAAAATACAAAAGTTAGCCGATGTCCTGGCACACACCTGTAATCCCAGCTACTCGGGAGGCTAAGGCATAAGAATCACTTGAACCCCAGAGGCAGAGGTTGCAGTGAGCTGAGATGGTGCCACTGCACTCCAACCTGGGTGACAGAGCGAGACCCTGTCTAAAAAATAAAAAATAAATAAAAAATTTCCCAGTACCATGACCATAACTAAAAGAACACCATGCCTAATGAAGTTTGTGTGTGATATGGAGGGAAAAAATTTGGAGAGTGAGTAATAAAAGGGGATTGGAATTTTCAATAAGGAAAGTCCACTTTGAGAAGTTGATGTTTACCAATGACTTGAAGGAGGTGAAGGAGTTGGAAAGAAAATAAAAAGACAAGACTGACTGATCACAGTGGCTCTCACCTGTAATCCCAGCACTTTGGGAGGCCAAGGCCTAGGAGGTGGGGGGGAACTCCTTGAGCCCAGGAGTTCCAGACCAGCCTGGGCAACATAATGAGACTATGGAGACTATTTCTTAAAAAAAAAAAAAAAAAAAATTTTTGAGACAGAGTTTCACTCTTGTTGCCCAGGCTGGAGAGCAATGGCACGATCTCGGC